CCCACAAACAAGATATTAGGGAACTCCATGAGATAACCCACTGAATCCCTTTGAGGGATGCAGGCTTTAACAGACGATTGGTCTTCCTCATCTCGGGTAGCATTGTAATCGGGATAGATCTTTTCATTTGTCATAGTTTTTTGTTTGTGACATTACCAAAGTGTGGTGTTAAAAAAACTGTAACCACATGGTAACAACAAAGTCTCGAGGGCTAACCTGAATTTGTACACCTCTCCAGACTGGGTTTCCCCCGTATTTTGAGACAGTGACAGTATGACACTTCTGAAACAGGCAATCTTAAGTTTTACTTATATTGAATGGTGAACAGAGGTTTCAATCTATGAAGAAGTTTATGACAGTTGATGTATCGATATTTCGTGAATTGCAGTCGTGATGTTTTACTCTTTACATATTATGCTACAAAAAGAAAGAAGGTTAAATTCTGTCTTCAATTGTCAAATGAGAAAAGGGGGGTTGTAATTGCGAAAAACTGTTTTTCCTCCACTTCATTAATACGTTTCTTTTATCGACTGGAGTTCTCTGTGAACAAACCGTATTGAACTTGATCTCCGCAAATAATGTACACTTAATGATTAAGCAAGATAAACATACTTGTACCCTGGATGAAAAGTGTAAACTGTCTACTTAAACAGGTGTATGTGATAGTCAACTGTATAAAAAGAGCTAAGTTAGATATTGAGGGTGTCCAGACTCTTGATTACTTTTGGTTCGAGAGAGGATGCCCCTAATTGGCCAAATTAGTAATGGTTTGATCTTTGCTCTGCTTATAATCATTTGTGTTGAATGCTGGTTGTTTCGTTTTAATTTGACATTAGTGTCGGGTAATAAATCTGTAATTCTCGATAGATCATTGTTGTCTTGCTTTCCTCACTTAGAGCAAAATTGCCCTACAGTAATCAGCACAGTTGCCCAAAAAATGCCTGAAGAAGAAACGAGCTGCATTTTCCTCAGGAATTTCCTTCTAAGATGTTGTTAATTCCCTTACAGAAGAAGTGTTCATGCCACCAGTGCCTGATATTTCGTGGCTGTTTAAACAGGTGAATACTCGTTCTTTTAGCATCCAAAGCACATCCAAGTTTTTTAAAAAAGGTTTCCAAATTTAAGTTAACATCCCAATAGCAATGTAACGCAGTTCGGGAGAGGAGAATCCGAGGGCAGGTGACACAGTGCCGACATCAATTATTCTTACAGGCATTAATAATAATTCACGTGGAGTGTATTAACGCAAAGCAGACATTTACATGTTTTTAACATCACTCTTTATTCATCTATTCCCAAAAACAGTTTTTAAAACTACAAACTCCTGATTGAGCTACAATTTTGTGTGTAAAGTTAATCAGAATTTTGAGAAGAATGAAAAAAGCATAATAAGAACGCAAATAATCAAATCAGCTGGAAAAATAATAAAAGTATTACAGTGAATTTGTAAATGTG